TTTTGACCAAACTAAATTCTGTGGGGAAAAATGCTCCCCCTCCCTCCCCCTCCCTGTCCCCCTCCATCTCCTTGGGGAAGAGTTTGCTCCAATTGTGAAACTTCCTTTGTGTCCCCTAAGGAGTGAGCTGAGGAAAGTCCCCAGGACACGACCCCCTTCTGTCCTGACCTCGTCTTGCTCATGGGCTCTCCCACCAGCTTTGAGGTCCAGGACTTTCACTAAGGGCTTCTAAGAGACACATGTGTCCAGAACTTTTCTTTTTTCTTTTTTTAAAAAAAAATTTTTAATGTTTATTTATTTTTGAGAGAGAGACAGAGAGAGAGAGAGAGATAGAGCATGAGCAGGGGAGGGGCAGAGAGAGAGGGAGACACAGAATCCAAAGCAGGCTCCAGGCTCCGAGCTGTCAGCACAGAGCCCGACGTGGGGCTGGAACTTGCCGACTGTGAGATCATGACCTGAGCAGGAGTCATACGTTTAACTGACTGAGCCCCTGGGTGCCTGACGTTGTTACCTATGAAGACAAGTTTGTGGAGAAATTTGATGGAGACACTGCGGAGCCAGACTCCCCCTGGGCCATTTCCCAAACGAAATGGTAAAAGTGCAAGTATCTTGCGCTAATGACGTGGTTCAGCCCGTCCTCTGGGGATTGCGATAAAAGGCAAGAGCTCTTAGCCCGGGCCCTTTGTCCCACGCGGTACGGAGGCCACTGTGGCCCCTGACAGGACACAGGTGTCAGCCCCTCTCAGGTCGATCCGCTCGTCTCCCCTGTCTTCATCCTTTGCGTTCTTCTGACTTTCACGCACTTTGCTAAAGAACCGAGTATTTAGAATGTGCTCCTGTTTTTGTAAAATGTGCCCAAAGAGGAGTAAGGTGTCCTTGAACTCAGAGCCGTGCGTCAGCGGGACTGCTGACAGTCAGGCCCGGGGCCCACAGAGCTGAGAGGACCCTGCGGGGCGGAGGGCAGCCTTGATTGGATCCTTCCCTGCAGCTGCGAGCCTCGCCTGGGCAGGAAGTGCGGAAATGTTCGCACTTGCCCGTCTTTAGAGGGAGCTTCTTTCTCAGAAGCTCAGCCAACACCTGCTACTCGTAGCCTCTTGGCATTGAACTCTGGGTTTGCAACTTTAGTTTAATTCAGTGTGTTTTTCACGTGCACACTAGGAATGAAGATACATTTTGGAAGAATACAGGTGAGCTCATTAATGACGCCCGGAGTCTGCCCCTTTGGGGTCCTTGCAGAGCATCTTCCTGGCTGCGTGGGTGATGTCTCTGAGACTCCCCTTCATGTCTGTCCTCATACAGCGTCATCCCCGGTATCTTGCACAAGGTGAGAGTGCACGAAGCCCCCTTGTGTAATGATAGGGCTCGTCAGGCGCCAGGAGCGAGTCGTGTGGCGACGGGTGGAGGCCGTAGGCACGCCACTGGCTCCCGAGTTGGCTTACTGTGTCTACCCCACCGTCCGTGTGCAAACAACCCTCAGAGAGGATGTGGTGTGTTTCTCAGCATTGAGAAAAGACAGCAATTCAGTCGGTAAGCCAGTGTTCAAGGCCAAAATCTTATGAAGTCCGTTGGCATTTCTGGAGTGGTGAGGTGACGAGGACTTGCCCTGATCATTTCTGTGACTCATCGTAAACAAAGGCCAGCGTACGTATTAATTGTGGTCAGAGTGTGTTAGAGTTAGTTTGAAATATCTGATCATCCTTTCCTCTCTTACGCCACCAACCAGCACATCAGCCGGCCGTGTACACGCACCTGTAGCATCGCCTGTAGGTCACGCACGTACCAGGTGACCTCTACTGACAAAGCACCGCCTCCTGATGGTCTTCTGTGTGACATCCCCACTGTGGAGGCTCATTTCTGGACGCACAAAGTAGAGAGGCTGTGCACGTTGTTGATGACTCTCGCACACACGGGGTGGGTTTCAGTGAACAAAAACCACACACACGCCCACACACTCTCACACAGGCCGACCTTAGTAGGAAAAGTACTTCATAAATATATGCGTGGCTTTGGCCACAAAATCCACAGGAGGCATGATAGTGCTTTACGCGTTGCTGATGTCCAGCCCAGAGACAAATGATCGCACAGGGTACATCCCGATTAAAGGGCTGTTCCAGCTGCTCCGTGTGTGGTACGTAGAACACGTGCCTCTGGAGTTGGGCACAGACCTCTCTTCGGTGGCTGTCTCTGGCATCCTTTGTCGGGGTTCCGAGGAGTTCCATGGGATTGTATGCGTGAGTTCAGTAATGGGATCCAGATTTGTGATCTCTCCAGAACTGAACGCCACGTATCAGGCTCAGTCTCCAAGATCTGTTACGATCACTGGTACCCTAAGTGCCTCAGCTCAATGCTACATTTCTAGGACAGCAGAAAGGCAACGGATATCCATCAGAAAATCAGACGACGACACTGCCTCATATTGTTTCCTCTACCTTATCAACTTTTCCTCTCATCACACAATACCAGCATCAGATAGCGTTTATTAAGCCCCTCATGCGCCTGGTGCCGGGTAGGGTAATGCGTCTTCACAGTTACCTCGTTGTGCTGGTTTTTCAAATATGCCCGACCAGTGTTGCGGTGAAATTGATTTCTTTCTTGTTAACAAAATCGGTTCTTTTTTGCACTAATTAAAATCGCAAGGTAATGGACCCTATAACTCCGATGCAAAGGGTCCAAGAGCCTGTCAAGGACCCCCGTGCTCAGCATCACTGCGGCCAAGGTGCACCGGGAGGGCCTTGGCCGTGAGCCGTCCTTGTGTGTGGGATGGCCGCGGGGTCGCGGATGGGCATCCACAGCAGATGACACCGTCTCCTCGCTTCCAGGACATAGACAAGCAGTAGGAACGTGTATGCTACTCGGAGACACCCCGCCAGTTTCCACAAAGGCAGCCGCTGTTCCTTGGCAGCCTGCCACAAAGGCAGCCGTTCAATGCCAAGGGCGTCAGCCGCCCTTTGTAGTTGTTCGTGCCGCGTTATGTTTTCCCCTGAAGTTTCCCCAAATAGTGGCTAAGAAAACCCCTTCTAATATAGATAGAAACCAAATTGTACACTAGGGAAAAAGCTGTTTGAATTTCAGACCTTAGTGGGTCCCCCCTCCCCCAGTTCCAATGCGGTTGGAAATCTGTTGGACGTGGGCAAGAATTAACTGTTTGTTTCCACCGCGAAGCGTATTCAGATGATCCTGAACATGAGCGGGGACCGCTACGGCCTTTGCCAGTAGCCAGAAGTGGACAACAAAGTACAACTACATCGGCACAATCGCTTTTTCACCACTACGAGTCGCCTGACATTCTGCTGACGTCACATGTGCCTTGCCTCGTTTATTCATCACACAACCTCATGGGGTAGGTGCTTTCAGCGCCCGGGCTCAGGGGTGTTGGAAAAGTCACCCCAGGTCGCTCTGCCTCTGAACCCGGAGCTGGTTCACGAAAACCCCACGCACTTGGCCAGCCATCCCTGCTTTGATGTTCGAGGTTCTCAGGTGGGATTTCACAAATCACGCCTACTTCCCAAAGCCCTCACGGCACGGCTGTCAGATTCCGTCTGTAGACAGAGTTTATTTATGAAAGAACTGCAGACACACGGGCTTAGAGGCACCAGCGTGACTGGACGGTGAGCCCAGAGAGCCCTCCACCTGGGGCGGAGCAGGCGAGGCCTGGCCTGTGCCATCAGGGCAGCACCCAAGAATGCTGCTTATTCGCAAACACGAAGAATTTGGACTCCAGTGTTCAAAAGAGGGCAGCCAAGGGAATGCATAGGTCTCCTCAAGCAACAGCATGGTTCTGAAGGGACCGAAACAAAGGTGTCATAGTTCTGCACGTAGCGGAATCCCTTCAAGAGAGCCGCCCAAACACAACACCCGTCAGAGTGTCCAGATTTCACTGAATATCACAGCCCTGATCTGCAGCGTGTTTTAGACACGGAGCCAGGAGACTTGGATCTGGCCGTGCCACTGCACGTGACGGCCACCTCATGCGTGTGCAAAACCCCAGCTGTTACCAAAGGTGGGTGAGTGAGTCCTGTGTTCCTTTTCGTTATGTAGATGGCGCCTCTGGTAGAGGAGAGCATTGTAAATACCGACCCAAGGCTACTGATTGGTTAAATCTCCAGCAGAGAATATTCACTCCTAGACAGACAGTATGGATTTGGAATATACATATTAGACACTTCGTTTTTAATAGAGTTTGCTTAAGGTGTAAGATATCACGTATGTTATATCTCACGTATAACTTATATACGTAACTTATACATATACATACATGTGTGTAAGATATATATGATATTACTGTGGAGGATATATTAACAGAATTGCTTAAGATATAAGCCACTCTGTTAATAATTTATCCTGAAGGAGCTCATAACAGACTTTGTCACCCAAAACTGTACTCCGTGGGTCTGTCACAGTGGCTAGAATACTCACCTTCCTCTCTGTTCAAAAGAAGAAATCCTAACCTCTATCTGGTGACATAACCTCATTTCTTACACAAAATGTGAATCTAGATATATTTCCAAAGCAACTGGGAGAAATTGTTTGATTCTTTATATCCTCCATGGATGTTTATCTTTCCATGGATTTATCGAAACCCATATACTTCGAGACCCATTTAAACCTTGTTTCTCAAGAATGTACTCCATTTTGATCAAGTAACTCTCAGTCTCTTGAAAGAAAAAAAAGAAAGAAAGAAAACATGTGGCATGTGTACTTTAAATGCAATATAAAGTATTTATGCGTGTGATTATACACATACACACATACAATCCTACAGTATTTCTGTTGTATATTAACGTAAGAGACAGTGACCCTGCTTTGTGATTTCCTTCCCTAGAAAGGGAACTCGTTGGTACCTACTGGGGGACGGCTCAAATATTTTCTTAGGATACACGAAATAAAGGTAGGCTGCAAAAGGTTCGTAAAACAAAACAAAAATGTCTAGGAGATCCAGGTCCTTTAAATCCCTTCAGTTAAGATTGTACATGCGGGTGATTTATTTAGGATCGGAGACATGTATTAGCACTATTCATTATAGAGTAAAAGGCCTGCTTGGCGGTTCTAAAAGGTTTGAATTAATTAAGAGCCAGCCTGTGGGTGACAAGAATAATTTGGGGGCCTGAGGAGGAAGACCCCCACCCCAACCTCCCAACGGTTAACTGTGGGTTTTCTCACGCTAGTCGGGTGCTCACACCGTGGGTATTCTCACACCTGTCGACCTGAAGCACAGCACCTGACCGCAACCAGGGTCACACGCGTGTTTCCCACAAGATCTGGCAGATTTGGTTGTTCAGTTTAGGTCAAGAAAAGGGGGATATGGATCTATAACCTACAATGGGAAACGGCTACCTGGCAACCAGTGAGGTGACAGCACGAATGTCAACTGGTGCGTTCTAGTCCCTGGTCTTGACTCTGGTGACTGTGATGGAGGAAGTAAGAAAAACCCGGGATAGGGCACCTTGGCCGTAATCGTGGTCCTCCCGGGTCTCCGACGGACCTCTCCAGGCTCACTGGACCATTTGCTCAGGTCGCTTCACTTACAACGACCTCCTCTCATTTCTGGAAGCGTCTAGACTTCTTTCTCCAGCAACCGCCCCCCATTATGACACGGGGAACCCACCCCTCCCACGGGCTGGCTCTCTCTGGCCTGGACGGGGCTCCATCCACGGCTTTGGGGATCCAGCTTATGATCCAGACCCAAGACGGCGAACACAGTAACGGGTTCAGCTGGAGGTGGTCTGCTGCCTGTCCCCTGGGAGTGGCCCTTGAGGGAAGGAAGGGAGGGAGGGTTTCCAGCGGCTTCCATCGGCCTGGAACTCTGGGAATTGGAGACCCGCTAGGCTTATTTCTTGGCGACCCTGAAGGCGGGCATGCTGGTAATAGAGAACCTACTGGAAGGAGAAGAGAATCAGCCCTGGGGACTTCATTTCAGCTCCTGCCTGATGTCTGTCTGCCTGCAGCTTGCTAAGCTCCCCAGGCTTTCTGGAAGGTGACACGGCTCCCTTTGCCGTAAGCCAGCTTGTGGCAAACCCAGCTGGGCTCTTAGTGCACACCTGAGCTCTTTCTCTCCTCTGTGCGCTCACCTTACGGTCCCTTTTGCCCAGAACAGCGTCCGCACCGTGTCCTTGTCTTCACTGGGTCTCTTCCTTCTCGAATAGGGAATACATCTTCCAGGTGGGGTTTTCTCTCTGCTTCTGGGGAGGAAAAGGAGAGGGTCACGGCGGCTTTCTTGAACCTGCTGCTTTTTCAAGTACCTTGAGCTCAAAATAACTTTTACGTCAAAGCCTCGTATTCTGAGGGGTATGTTCAAGTTTCCTTCCCTGCGGAGCCACTGCCAGAGAGAGATGTGTGCAACGCCACGCTGGGTTTTGCTGGAACAGGACCTCCGTGGCCTCGGGCCCCTCTGCTTCCGTCTCCCCCACCCCTGCTGGCTCTTTCCCTCTGACCCCCTGTCTTCCTGTCTTTCTCCCAGTCCCTCCCTCTCTCTCCTCTTCCTCCCTCGGTCTGTCTGTCTGTCCCGCCTTCTCCCCCAGCCACTCCCTCGGCTGAGCTTGTAAAACACACTGAGGAAAGGAGAGGGGTCAAATCCTCCAGTAGCCTCCTGCCTGCACGCTGTTTGAGCACCAATCATTCTGGATCATTCTGAACCATAAGCCTGTGTTCTCAACCATGAGGCTATGGGATGGGACAAAGTACTGAAATGGGGGTGCCGAGAGGGGGGGCTCAGTCAGTTAAGGGTCCAACTTCGGCTCGGGTCATGATCTCACGGTCCGTGGGTTCAAGCCCCGTGTCGGGCTCTGTGCCGACAGCTTGGAGCTGGAGCCTGCTTCGGATTCTGTGGCTCCCTGCCTCTCTCTGCCCCTCCCCACGCGCGTTCTCTCTCTGTCTCTCAAAAGTAAATACGAAAACGTTTCTTGTCTACACGGCCCGTACAAATGTTAGCTATGTTGCAGAAGTGGAGAGACCCTGTGGAGCACGGACCTCTGCGTTGAGGTCAGATATAAGACCCGGAGCTCGGAGGCTGGTGCCGCCTTCCTGGCAGAAGGCAGAAGGTCACGATGGTCAATTTGTCTTCACAGCCTGGCCTCACAATGAATGCAGGACACTCACCGGCAGCACCCCTGCGGACGGGCTCGGTGCCCTGTTTCAAGTGCACCTGGGCGGCCCTGCCGGGTGGTTGTCCCCTGGCTGTCCCCTGCTGTGCTCCTTCAGTTTGCCGAGAGAGAGAGAGAGAGAGAGAGAGAGAGAGAGGGAGAGAGAGGGAGAGACAGAGACAGAGAGAGAATCATTCAAAGTTAAAGGGAGGAGAGGTCGGAGACCATCAGCAGCAACAGGAACCTTCCTTCCTGGTAGAATTCTAGGGATTAGCCAGAGAGCTTTGCAGGAGGTTAAAAAAAGGGCGGGGGGGGGGTTCTTTTCTCCATCATTGGCAAACGCATCACAATTGCTTATGTTGTAAGATGTCAAAAGTTCATGACAGCAAATGAGAAGGCCAGTTTTGGCTTTATTCATAAAATGCAGTGGCTTTAACTCCTGCTCCAGGACTTTAAAAGCTTTAAGGCAGTAGGGCCTCTTTTAAAAAAAAAAAAATGGTTTTAACTTTTATTTATTTTTGAGAGACAGAGACAGAGTGCAAGTCGGGGAGGGGCAGAGAGAGGGGGAGACACAGAACCCGAAGCAGGCTCCAGGCTCCGAGCTGTCGGCACAGAGCCCGACACGGGGCTTGAACCCACGGACCGTGAGATCATGACCTGAGCTGAAACCAAGAGTTGGTCAGTGAGCCGCCCAATCACACCATGCCCTCTCGCCCCCGCCCTGTAATTCAGAGGATCAGGACCAATGTCTACACTTGTTCTATGTGATTTGCCACACAACTTCAGAGGAATGAGCTCTCTCGGTCTCTCTCCACACATCGTGTCTGTGCCCGGACCCTTGCAGTCGGTCCTGGCTTCCTTCCGGTGTAGTTCACGGCTCTTTACAGAGCTGACCTTTGAGCATGTGCAGACCGCCTGTCTGTAGAATGTGATCTTTGAGCCCTGGGGATCCCTAGAAGTTTCCGGTCACACCCTGCGATTCTCCGAAGGTAGAGAACAAATCCTTAAACATCTCGAACACCCAGCACCAGCTACACAGGTACAAAGCGTCTGCTCAACACATACCTCCTGACAGAGATAACTTCCCTCTTTTAAGATTGAAATCATATTTTTAACACTCGGTATTTGTGATGGTAAACGTGTCTGAATGAGAAAAAACATTTTTTCTTAAAGTCCAGAATTGTTGAATTTTCAGAACTTTTTACTTACGGTGATAAACGTATCTGATCGAGAAACAAATTCGTGTGCCCTGATTGGGTTGTTGATACCCGTGTTAATGGCATCAGACTCTTAGGTTCCATGGCCCTGGTTTCAGGTCATTTCCCACCTGCCTCTCTAGGGTGACCTTCTCTGCCCTCTTGCTGAGGTTTTTTTCCCCTGCCCACTGTACCCCGATCCTCACCATGTCACGGTGAAGGCCACCAGGGCAATTGCATTCTCACCTGTGGCTTGAACTCCGTCTCTGTGCTGAGAAGCTTCTCCAAACATCACGGCGCACTGCGTCGAGCACCTAGCAATTGTCCTAAGAGTTCCCGTGCCTGCGGGCGGACACATAGGTTAACCTGGTCTCTGCTGTGTAGTCAGAGCGGTATTTCCAAATTCAAGTCTCAGTGTGTGTCTTCTTGGCTCCACAGCCTGGTACAGATTCACACCGCTGTCAGCGTAAACCCGAGCCACAGCGCATGGCTTTCCCGGCCCCTCTGACCCACGTCTAGGTCTCTCTTTAGACGTAGCTCTCTCTCAGCCCACCTTTGGTAATCCATGCTACTTATTCCAAATTTGTTTTTCTTTCTCTTTCCCTGGAATCTTCATGCCCTCTTTTACTGCTGCACTTTGGAATATTCTACCTTTTTTATTTTTCTAGGAATAGTCTTTTCCTCTTCGATGATTCCTGGCTAGTTTAGGTTCAGCCTAGACCTCACCTCCTCCGGGGAGCCTTCCAAGACCTCCTATTTCCGCATCTCTCTGGTCTGGATTGGATGTCCCTCCTGCGTACTGATGAGCCACAGGGGGTTGTGTTGACCTATGTATTTGTATGAACACCCCCAGCCCCACTTAACCTCTAAGGTTTTTGGGGAAAGGACAGTTGACATTTGTGCCTTCTTCTGTCTTCTGGAATGACCCTAGAGCCTGGATCTCAAGAAATGCTTTGTTGCTGCAACACTGCGGATGGTGATTTAGCTGCGGGGCGGGGGGGGGGGTCAAGGTTATGTGTTTTATTCTAAACAGTGTCTAAGACAAATGTGGTTCCCAGCCACGTTTGGGGCACTAGCCCAGCTGTGAATATATGAGCAACTGAGGCACAGAGAAGGTGTGTCCTCGGTGGGTCCGGGAAACATTCCCTTTACTTGTGTAGCGATGGAAGCTCTCGCTTCGTTGGACGGTAAAGCCAAGAATCCAGACATGGGAAGGAGTACCGTTTCTGTCAAGTGCAAAGGTCTTTATGAAGCCCTCGGTGTGAAGAGCTGAGCCAGGAGGTGAAGTGCACTCTGCTCTTTTGGGAGGCGTAGATGTTAGGCGGAACTCAACTCACTAGCATGTCCTATGACGCGGGAATAATCGGGTTCTGCTCCGCACGATCTCCCCCGCTGTCTCCCTGGGTATCGGCTGCCTCTTCCTCCACCGGTTAACACGGAGTAAAAGCGCGTTGTGCCGGGGGTTCGGCCGGGTGCTTGCTGCAGGCTGTGCGGTCCCCACTTGGACACGAGCCGCGGTGCATCCGAAGGAAAGGCAAACCACATTGCCTTGTCTTCTGGGTGTCCTCCCGAGGGTGGGGGACTCAGTCCTGGGAGAGCTCACGGTGGGGGGTGGGGGGGGGGAGACACGGCTCTTCGGAAGAGGCTGGTAGGCCCTAGAGGGGTGATAGGACTTGAGCTGACTTTTGAATGAGGTTGAAAATGAGCTCTGTCTGGGGAGGGGTCAGAAAGTGCCGATAGACGCTGGGCATTGGAGGGGGGAGCACAAACGAGGTGGGGGGGAGCACGGATGAAGAGGGGGGAGCACAGATGAGGTGGGGGGAGCATGGACGAGGGGGGAGCACGGATGCATTTGGGCCACTGTGTGCACACTGAGTGTGCGGCCCGGGAGGGGGACGGCGGTGTCTCGGCATGGATACGAAATGCTGTCACAGGCGTGGGGGGCGAGGGGACCGTGAAAGGTTCTGAGCAGGCTCAGTCAAGGAGAAGAAAGAGAACATCGAAGGATTGAAACGAATGAAGCAACGTGACGTCGGTATCTTACTGCAACTTTATTCATTGACAGCAAATTTCTTAGCGAAATATTGAGTCAGCCTTAGATTTCGGTGAAGAAAACTCACATATGAGGGCAGCAACTTTCAAAAGTCAGTGCATTTGAGGAATGGGTGGCTGTTCAGCCGCCCACCTAGAAGCCTGGGTCCTGCTGGTTTGGCGGGGAGCCCCCCAAACGTAGGTGGCAAGCTTCTTGAGTTTCAGGGTACCTGTGGCCGAGAGCAGCCCAGGAAATCCGATCGGCACCATCAGAAGTCACCGCAGGGTTTAATTAGGTCAGGAAAACACTTCCGTTTTCAAGCTAGGAAAGCGGGTAATCGTTAACTTTACTAAAAGGTGATTCGCTGTAACGTTTCGTCCCGAAGCCGGGCAGACATCATCCACAGGGACATGGACTGATAGAAGTGTGTGCAATAGGTGATGGCATTTGTGTGATTTTGGCACAAAAGTGAGGATTTGAAGACAGCTACAAGCTGTACTAGCAAAGGGGCAAGTGTATCGAGACCGGTTTTGAATTCTAACTGGACCACGAAGCATTTCAAAGCACGAACTTCTTTTTCTTTTCCTCTCTAACTTAAAACTGGGCTGTATTTTTTCACATTTGGTAAAAAGAATGCTTCGAGTCTTCGACCCAGAGCGCCAAGCTGTAGCCGAGAGTGCATTTTTAGAACTGATTTATGGGCCCCAGAAGGCCACCTGAAGAAAGATCTCTGTGGCTGGCTGTCCTATTTTGCTTTTTCTGAATTACTTTGTATCTGATTTAGACACTGGAAATTATCGGTGTGGGATTTCGCATGCAGATCGGGCACTGTTTCCGAACTTCTTCTCCGATGCATATTTCATGATTAGTATCCTCAAACCCCAAAACCTCTCTGGAAAAACATATTCTGTACCTTTGTGATTTGTTTAATAAACTGGAGGTAGACAAGTTAAAGGAGCTGCCTCTTAATTTAATGAGAAGTACTTTTCAAACAACACTTGGAACAATTGCAAATGGCATTGGACAAGAACAACAAAGTGCTGAAGGGGAGAAAGGATTTAATTTTTAACGATGGACTTTTCAGTGATAACATTTTAGAAAGAATGACTTAAAAGCTGTAATTAGAAAAGTTGGATCATTTGGAGGATGCGGAGGACTGACAGCTTCTTCCTCTCGATGTTGTGGATTGAGAAACAGATGTGAGGGGAGTTCAGATACCATCAGAGTAATGCCTTTGCCGTAACTTGTGAGATAGGAACCCAGCACCCGTGAGGAACCCAGCACCCACGGGGAATCCAGCACCCAAGGAGGAACCGGGCACCCCTGAGGAACCCAGCACCCACGAGGAACCCAGCACCCAAGGAGGAACCCAGCACCCACGAGGAACCCAGCACCCAAGGAGGAACTCAGCACCCACGGGGAACCCAGCACCCAAGGAGGAACCCAGCACCCACGAGGAACCCAGCGCCCAAGGAGGAACCCAGTACCCACGGGGAACCCAGAACCCAAAGAGGAACCCAGCACCCACGAGGAACCCAGCGCCCAAGGAGGAACCCAGCACCCACGAGGAACCCAGCACCCACAAGGAGCCCAGCACCGATGCAGGAACGGGGACATGACCCATCTCGGTGGGTCAGGGATGGAAGAAAGCATGAAAACTTTTCTCTTAAATGCAGATTCCCTGTTTCCTTGGAGATAAATGACCCCTGTGCAGGAAATTCCAGGACCTGCAGTCCCAGCAAGCCCTCTCCTGTAGGACTTGTCCACCTGTGTGCCTCCAAGGACGCGCGGGTGGGAAAGCGTTGGGGGCAAGTAACTTCATCTCTCCGTCCTCTGTCCTCTGTGCGCCATCACCAGTTTCTGTCTCTCCAGACTCCAAGGGTCCTCGGACCCCTCCCCCCCACTTTGCCATATTCACCGGACCCCCAGGACTTAGACCCTTGCGAGTGTCCCAGATGTCCGGTTTTCTTGCTCCCCTGCCTATGTGGCCTCTGTTGTCACTGACGTCTTTGCAACCGTGGTCTCGTAAGTGTGGTTCTGCTCCCAATTCTGCACAC